CCACAAACAAGATGTAAAATAATTACATTATTAGTGGGATAAATAAATGAAACACTGTCCCCCAAAAAAAATTTTTTTAAAAGAAGTTAAAATTCCATTTACAGATGTCAACCTAAATAACAAAGGAAGACACTCTAAAAGAAATTTCCCCATGTTTCTTTTATCGTTAATCTTCTTCTACCCTGGCAACTATTGATGTTTTCTGTCCCTACAGTTTTGCCCTTGCAAGAATGTCACATGAATGGAATAATACTGTATGTAGCCTTTTGTTTCTGGCTTCTTTTACTCAGCATAATGCACAGGTATTTCATCCCAGTTGTTACATTTACCAATAGTTTTTTCTTTTTTTCCATTGGAGTATTAGGGTGGTATGTGGACTTTAAGAGAGCAAGATTGAGTTAAAACCATCTAGGACTCAATTAGCAAGTTGAAAAGGTGCTAAGACAGTGGAGAAGGTATAGAGTGAGATTTGTAAAAGGCAGCATTCCAGAGAGTTAGGTTTACCCATAAACCAGTTTTGAACTAGCGTCTGGAACAAAAGGGAAGATGAAGGTAGTTCTGGCAGTAGATTCTGAAAGAAGAGAATGAAGGAAGTCGTCCCATAAAGTGATGTATCTATTGTGAAGAGGTTTGAATGACTTACACTTGTACCTCCAGGAGGCAAATCTTGGGGGACATCAGGGGAAAGAGCATTCCAGGCACATGAAATCCCAACTTACACAGCCCTGAGGTGGGATTCTTATGCCAAGAGTAGTTTATAGGTAAAGAAACTAATTGGTGAGATCAGCTATTAGAGTTTTTCCAGACTAAAATCAACTCTGCAGTACCATGTGGCTGGGAGACAGGAGGCTCTGGGATCTCATGAGCACTTGTAGCTTAGCACCAGTTGATGAGAAAAATATTGATCCTTTTTTCAGACCCCATTGCTGGCCCCTGTGAAAAATGGTGAAGCTTTTATATGAGAGAGTATGTGAACTGAGATCCTGGGGTTTGGTGGTGGAATGAGAGCTCAGCTGGGTTCACATCTGGTGTCCAAGGCTCAGTTAGTAGGTTCTTATATAAGAGAGACTGTCTCTCCCAGAAACTGCCTGTTTCTCTACTCTGGCTTGTCACATTTCCCCCTGATTAGGTTACATTATTGGAAAGACCATATATTCTTAGTTTCTCATGGAAATGAACTGAATAATTAAATTAAATATTAGTTATATGTTGCAGGTATCTCTTGTGGGCAACATTGGATAGGGTCTTTTGAAAAAAAACCTTTAGTTTTTTCAAGACTACAGTTATGGAGAACTTAAATTTTAATAAGCAATGATCTTTTATAGATAAATTCACCAAAACTCTTTTCCATAAATTGCATAATTTATTATTTCCATACAATTTTATAATTCATTAACTTCATAACCTGTAAATTCCATAAAAATAAGTCTCTCCAGATGGCTTTCCATTTTTCCTATTGGTGTTCATTTCTGTCTTAGAAGCCAGGAAGCTGAATGCCACAATAGGCACTTGTTAGCAAAGCATGACAGCATATCTGTGTGAAAGTAGTCAGAACCAAAATGGAGTCACTAGTGTTTAAAGAAAAAAAGGGGGAGGAAGACTCAAAAAAGCTGACAAATGAGCTGGAAAAGGACATGAGGAGAGGGTTCTCATGCTTGTATGCCTGATAACAAAAACTATCACAAAAGATTCTGCAAAAACCATAACCTTGCACAAAGACCATCACAACCTTACAAAAAAATACTTTTGCAAGGACATCTGCCCAGCAACTGTCTGCCCAACATTGGATTGGTGCCACCCTTGTTACTGAGCTTTGTAACAAAGGATAATTATTTCAAAACGATTATGTAACCCTCCTCATTTTTTCCTTTAAAAACTTTTGTCTTCCTTTACCTCTCTGAATACACACATAGTTTACTATGGCACTCTTATTCCCATTGCAATGCTCTATTCCCAAACATCTTTTTCTTTTAGAGTGCCTTCCTTTGTTACTTAGGTTGACACCTGTAAATGGAATGTTAATTTCTTTGAAAAAAAATTTTTGGGGGGAGAGTGTTATGTTTCATTTATTTGTCCCACTATAATTGTGCAATGTAATGAGCCGCTCAATTCCTAAATATATATATGCACACAAAACACCTCTCATGTTTTGTGTCTAGTACATTTGTGTCTACCCATCATTTCCCCTGTCCTTCAGAAAGGAGACTCACGCTGTTTCCAAGATGAAACGGGGCAGTAGTTCTTCTAGGCAGTAGGCGCCACCCTCTTCAACCCAATTGTCTATGTTTAGGATAACTTTATCGTTATCATCCACTTTCAATACTTTAGAGAAAGGAGGCGCTATGCTGAGTGGACAGGATAACTGAACAACAGCAATAACGGAGGTGGTCTTATCTGTTATACCTAAGGGAGCAGGACACGGAATACTGGCGGTGGGTTTTTTAAAATTAGTTTTTATTTTTTAATGACCTGTATTAAACGCATATACAATAAAAAGCACAACTCTTAAATATTTAAGATAAGGAATTTTTCATAGACTCGTATAAGCATTACTCTGATCAGTTTTAGATCATTTCTATAATAATACTCTTGAAACTTCCTGTTTACCTGTTCTCATAATAAAAGAGAATATAATAAAAGCATTAAGTAAACAAATATTAAGGTTTCCTAAAGCAACATACTGAGATCCTTTGATAGCTCAGTTGATAGAGTGGTGGACTGTAGGGACATTTGGCTGATGGACATCCTTAGGTCGCTGGTTTGAATCTGGCTGGAAGGAGTTCCCTGTTGGGGAGGGTCTTTTGTGAGCCTGGAATCTCAGAGCTATTCTTAAGAAGGAAATTTAAAAGAACACAGTGAAGCAGTAAATTAAAAAGAAAAAGAAAAAAACACCAACCACAAGTACGTACACAGGAAACTCCTAACAAGGGTTACTTCAAGGAGAGTCAACTGGGTCAATGGAGAAGGACCGAGTTTCACTTTTCGCTGAGTTGAGAAGGGATCATGAGGAGTGTGGGCAACGGGAAGGACACTCTGCCCCAAGGTTTTTATTTTCGTTTTTTTGAAAGTTCGATGGCCTCTTTAGGACTGCCTGTTAATACTTAGTGTGAACAAAAAGTTTATAATGACTATTTCAAACATACACAACGTAGAGAAAATAGCATAAAGAACTACTATTTAACCATCATGCTGGCACGACTAACACTCTTGCATCATCTACTACCCACATGCCCGTCCCCTAGTTCCCGATCTTTTTTTTTTTTTTTTTGAGACAAAGTCTCACTGTGTTGCCCAGGCTGTGCTAGCTCACAGCAACCTCTCACTCCTGGGCTCAAGCGAGCCTCCTGCCTCAGCCTCCCGAGTAGCTGGGACTACAAGCATGCGCCACCATGCCCGGCTAATTTTTTCTGTATATTTTTAGTTGTCCCATTAATTTCTTTCTAATTTTAGTAGAGACGGGGTCTCGCTCTTGCTCAGGCTGGTCTCGAACTCCTGAGCTCAAACAATCCGCCCGCCTCGGCCTCCCAGAGAGCTAGGATTACAGGCGTGAGCCACCACGCCCGGCCTAGTTCCCGATCTTTTGAGGCAAGCTCAAGATGTGCTCTCATTTCATTCACTGTTACTGTGTTTTGAAGATGTTGGTGTTAAGAATTAAAGGTAGGACGAAGTCTATTCCTCTCACCACACCCCTCCCCGCTCCCCCCACACAGGGCAACTAACAGAAAGTTCTCTTCAATAAATGAATGAAACAGGCGTGTGAGAATTCCAGGAGTCTAGTCAATAGACTAGAGCGAGATGGGAAATTTTGTCCGGTCGCAGCAAGGGAGGATTTATATTGGTAGTCCTCTAACTCCTTCCAGAAAGCCAACTGGATTATTTGTACGCGGTTCCCAGGTGCGGCCTTTGCAGGCTGACACGCGGCCGATATGGGTCAGAGGAACTGAGGCTCCTCAAGGGCGCAGATGGCGCCCCCTGGTGGGCACGTTCTCGGGTGACCAGAACCGGGCCAAGGCGGAGCGTCAGCTCCAGGAAAGGGGCCCCGTGCTTGGTGTAGGGATGTCCGCCCGGCAGCCGGGAGGGGGCGGGACCGCTGCGGCTTAATCTGTTATGCGGTTGCACAGGGCATAGGGCATAGGGGGAAAAGCAGGTTTGTGATCTGAGGGGAAATCCGTGATGACAGGCCCAGAGAGAGCAGAACTAACCGCACCGCCCGGGGAGAGCCTGAGTTGGGGGTCATGTATGCATCTGACAACATGTATTTGCAATATCAGTATACATCTGGATAATATGTCAATACACACGTATAACAGGCCCCAAATAAGTTCTTTAAATAAAATAGTCATTTAAATTTTTAGTCATTCACAAAATCAAATTTAAAATATTAACCTAAAAGTTCACAACTTACATTTTCAAAAATTAAATCTAATTAAATTTTCAAAATTAAATTTGCAAAGTCAAACTAAATTTTCAAAAGTTAAATTCTAAAATATTTAAGTTCAATTTCCAAAAATAATTAAAACTTCAAAACTTAATTGCATTAAGAAATGAAATTTTTTAAGTTTTAAACTTTAAAAGGTGAGTCATCCCTCAGCCGGAGTCGCACCCAGGTCTCTCAAGAAGAATGCTATGTTAATCGCTAGAACACATAGACTCTCCCCCAAAATTGTTCTGCAGAATTCCCGGAAGAGCCGGCCTCGACCCGCCTTTTTAGCGCCTCAACAAGACGTTCTACCAGGTAGGTTATACACGGAGGACCTGTCTCTTCCGGCTCTGCCTCTCCAGCTCGGGAGTAATGTTTGGCTAACCCGAGCTTTGCACCCCGCTCCCACTCTCTAAACCTCACTTTTGACCTGACCCCCGACTTCCGCCCTCTCCACTCCGTCTTCTCTTGGACCCGCCTGCATCGCTCAATCCTTTCCTTGCATCCGTCTTCACTGCCTCAGCCGCGCCCCTTCTCCTCAGGCCGTCGCACACGGTAAGCGACAGTCGGCACCGCGCTTTACGGCAGTCGTGTTCCCTGTTATCAGCCAGCATGGAGGCAGAGGAGTCCGAGAAGGCAACTACGGAGCAAGAGCCGCTGGAGGAGACAGACCAGAAACTAGAGGAGGAAGAAGAGCAGGAGGAATCCGAGGAATCCGAAGAAGCAGCTCGTGGCAGCAAGAAGCGGGTAGTTCCGGGTATTGTGTACTTGGGACATATCCCGCCGCGCTTCCGGCCCCTGCACGTCCGCAACCTTCTCAGCGCCTACGGTGAGGTTGGACGCGTTTTTTTTCAGGCTGAGGGTAAGTACGCAGGCCCTGACGGTGAAGGGAGGAAGGTGGTGTTACTGACCGGTGGGCGCGCATTCATATCCTGTTGCCTGGGCTGCGCTGGGCTGAGGCGCAAGCTGGTAGCGTTTCCGGGGAGGGGGAGGGGTCGTTTGGACGACGGGCTGTTAAGTTGGTCTGTGAGGAAGCTGGGGCGGGTGGGTAGCGCAGTATGTCTGACGGTGCGTTAGTTGTCGGATTGTTACCGTTTGCGTTTTAATCCCCGCTTTGTCCACCTCTCTTTTCGTACCCGTTTACTGTTTGTTAAATGGGTACAACCTGAGTAAAAGTCTCAGCGGCCTTTCTACAAAACTAAGCACATCCCTTTGGCATCGCGGCCCAGGTCAATAAACAGTATTTGATCATCCCAGCCCCTTGCAGGCACTAATTGGGGTTGGGGGCTTGTGCAGATTTTAAATAGTGTTCAGGGCAGGCCACATTAAGGAGTTGAGATTTGAGGAAAGGATTTAGACAAAGGAAAGGGTGCATCTCACAGTTCTCTCACTTCCGGGCAAAGACTGAGGTGGGACCCCAACCAGCAGTTTTATAGAATGGTGTGGCTAGTGGGAGATTTGTTCTTGTGGGTGTTGCGTTGGCCTCCTTGACTGTGGCTCTGTTTTTGGTGCACAGACCGGTTCGTGAGACGCAAGAAGAAGGCAGCAGCGGCCACAGGAGGAAAAAAGCGGTCCTACAGCAAGGACTACACCGAGGGCTGGGTGGAGTTCCGTGACAAGCGCGTGGCCAAGCGCGTGGCGTCCAGTCTACACAATACGCCTATGGGTGCCCGCAGGCGCAGCCCCTTTCGTTATGACTTATGGAACCTTAAGGTGAGGAGATAGGTCTCCCTGACTCACCTCTCGTCTTCCCTGCTCTCCAACCCTGGCCCAAGCACCACCATAGCCTCTTGTTGACCCTGCCCCTCGCCTTCTCTTTGTCTCCGATCTGCCCTGTTCTGATCTTTTCTTGTCTTCCTGCCCGCAGTATTTGCACCGTTTCACCTGGTCCCACCTCAGTGAGCACCTTGCTTTTGAGCGCCAGGTGCGCCGGCAGCGCCTTCGAGCCGAGGTTGCTCAGGCCAAGCGTGAAACTGACTTCTATCTTCGAAGTGTGGAGAAGGGACAACGTTTCCTTGCTGCTGATGGGGATCCTGCCCGCCCGGATGGCTCCTGGGCATTTGCCCAGCGTCCTACTGAACAGGAGCTGAGGGCCCGGAAAGCAGCCCGGCCAGGGGGACGTGAACGGGCTCGCCTGGCTACTGCCCAGGACCAGGCCCGCTCGAACCGAGGGCTCCTTGCCAGGATCTTTGGAGCTCCACCACCCTCAGAGAGTATGGAGCGACCCTCCCTGGTCAGAGACTCCTGAGGAGCAGGGAAGCCCCTTTTGTCTCCTGGCCCTGCCCTGCTTCCTGTCTACCTCAGAGTGATAATGACTACCCAGGCACATAATTTTATTGTGTTACTCAGATCAAGAGTCTCTGGTGAAGGCTCAGACATGGAGGTTTTGTGGGCTTCCTCTCTCCCCGTGCCTAACTCCTCTATATGCTTGACTGAGTCACCTAATTCATACTAGCACGATTATGACTATTGAAGATGTCTGTTTTGTTTTGTTTGACTTTTGGCTGCTTGCCTCCAGCCCAGTGGGGCCCCCTAAAAATCCCACTTCTGACTCCAGGAGGGGCCTTATTTGCAACTAGAGTGATAATGCCTTGCCTAGGCAATCTTGTTCTATTTAGCAACTACGGGAAAGGGCAGCAGCAGCAGCATCCTTTTTATTTAGAAAAAGTTAACAGGTATAGGAATTAACAGGGTGGAACTGGGTTGGGAACCACTTTCCAAATGTATTTATTGAAAAGAAAATATGTATTTTATAAGAAAATACACATTTATAAAAAAGAAGATACATATATACTGTTTTAGTTTCATGGTTAGGGGTCATTGGGCCATTTTAACTTTTATTTCCTTTTGTTCCATTCACCTTCATTCCATCTCCTGGTCTTAGAGTTCCCCATTTAACCTGGAGTTTTTTTCCTATTTAATTTCTGTCTATTTATTAGCCCAGTTTATCAATCAGTTATCTAATTCAGCATTTACTAAGCCACTGTGTGAGGAAACAGTGTCAGTGGGTAATAACATGTGGCCCTTGGCGTTAAGAGTCTATGGGCCACTAGAATAAGAGAGATAGGCATCATGATACGTGCATATAAGAGGTGGAGTGGGGACTGTAGCAGGACATGGAGTGTTCTCATGGTGAACCTGATACATGATCACAGTCTTTAGAAATGGGTCAGACTTTACCAAGGTTTCCAGGTCATTCCTGGAATGTGAACTGGGAGAATGACAGCAGAATCCTGAAGGAGCCTAGTGTGTTCCTACAATTGCAGACAGTGCTTCATGAATGGAGTGTTGGGTTGGAACCATTGTAAAGGTGGGCAAAGCCTAGGAGGGGAGTCAGGAACAAATGTGCTGCAGGTGCTCTTATATGTGTTGGGGCTTAGACAAGGGAGGGTTCACAAAAAGGCATGCAGAGCAGCCCTATAGGCTTCAAAGAGTAAGTGTAAGTCACTAAGAGGAACTAAAAACGTAGGTGTCACAATAAACTAAAAAATCTAAACACAGTCTCATGTAGATTAAAACTGATCATTATCCAGGCTGTTAACTTCAGGAAGTAGTAGAGTATGATTATGGTTATTCGGACTTTGCTTGTGCTGTTTTAGTTTCTTTTTTTTTAAATTTTGCCCATTGTGCCGATCCATGTGTTTTTTTGGGGGAGTGGGTTGGCGTGGATTTATCCACTTCTTTAGCTGTAAAGTATCCCTGCCACGTTATGATCTGAACCTTATGGGTGCACTTTATTTGGAAGAATAAAAATGTCCACACAGTATAGCTTGGTAAAACATTTCCCACAGCCCACATACCTCTTATACTCAGCACACAAACTACATCTCCACTTCTTAGGAACTTGATATCCTTGTTTCTGTGTTCATTTCTTGTGGATTTGTTTCATGTGGGTTGTTTCCTCAGGTCATGATGTTAAATTAACCAGAAGAATCCAACATCAGAATTGACAAGCTGGCACATTCACTTATTCGGAATTCCAAGTGCCCATTGCTACCTCTGCTAGCTAAAGAGATAGCAAGGCGAAGAAGAAACTTTTCTTTCCCTCAAGTTGCTAACAGAAAGTACAACAGAAATACTAGAGTTTAATGAGACTTCTTTGAATTAAGAAAGGAATTGTGTTCCCATGTTGGGCTGTGTGGGGTATTGGTTGATAGACTCAAGGGTCAGCATCTCAGGCTCCACCTCAAATAATTATGTAAAAAGAGCTCACCCCTACTGCCAGGAAACCTGGATAAGTCACAGGCAGAGTAAGGAATGAGAATAAATGGGTGCAAGAAAATTTCCCAGGAGCTTTCATCTTGATTCCTCCATTGAGGGCAGAAAAATGATTTTTTTTTACAGTCACAATTTTGTTTCCATTTAAAGTATACTTTGTTTTTTACATGAATTATTTAATATATAAGCATATGATGTTGTTATCCCCTTATTAAAGCTGAACTCAAGAGAGATGACATAATTTGCCGCTTATCTTTTGTTCCCATCGTTTTTCCCAAATGCCTTTTCTAGGCATATGATAAATGCGTATTGCATATGATGAGTGCTTATTGCATGAATCTTGTGAGTAATAGACACATAACTATAGACTAGAGAGTAAAGTGTACCTGCAAATATGAGTGGATTTATTTTAACTAAGACCAAGAGTAGCAAACTGGGTGATTTCGGTCATGATCCTGTGATCAGGATCTGATTCAACTTTGTTTCACTCCCAACTGAGAAGCTGGGACTCTGCATTTGATGGCAATAGAGTGGGCTGATTTCTTTCTAAGTAGAATGAGGAAGCGAGTCTCCTGTTAGAGTAAGGGGGCTTTAATAGGGTAGGTCTGGGTGCCTTGTGAACTTAGTCCTAAAAACTTAAAAAAATGTTTACAGCCACTTTTTCTCAATTTTCTGATTCTTCATGTAACTTTCTCCCTGAAATTTGTCTTGTTATGTTACAGTAGAGTTATGAGGGGAAAAAAAAAACCACTTTGGTATAAGCCTCAAGGATGTGCTCATACTCCCTAGAGTGGTGAACATGAATTTTAGCAGATTGCTTACAACCTAGTATTTGAACTCCTGCCCTTTTTGAGGGAGTCAGGGGCTGTAATCCCAGCACATGTGATAATTTTCTACTTTGGTCAATTTTGTCTGCTGCTCCCAACACCACACAGAACTGAGACTGAATAACAACTCAGCCAGAGGAATGGAAAGACACGGGTCAGGTCGTGTGCTTTTTTAGCAGGGCATAGGTTAGCGTGAAACACCCAGGGAATTATTAAAAGGGGAGGAAGGGACGGGAAACACGTCAGGAGCCAATTCTCTAAGCAGGAAAGAGCGGCTTCAACGGGTTGCGTCTTCCTGGGAGACCAGCGGGAACCAGCGAAAGGGCTAGACCACGCATTCCTGGACGCGTCCAACGGCTTCAGCGAATAAACCGGACCCGACGCAGGTTCCTGCCCACTCATCTCCCGGAGGGACTATTGCAGCCTCAGCACAATTTCCCAGGCCCCAATGTGATCCAACCCACCCCTGGCCTTGCTCTGGCTTGGAATTTAAGAGAGGACTGAATGTTTCCATCTGTTATAAACTCAATCCATTTAGGAACAACTAATTCCACCGTAAAGGTTCTCAGTGAAAACTTTCCTAACAGTTTGCCAAAACACATTTCTTGGAGTAAGTGGAAAAGTGTACTTTTGGGGCACTTCCTATGCCTATATAAATAGATGGCAAAATTGTAACATGCTTTTTGGGGAGCACAACAGTACAATTTGATGCTCCACAATCTTTTTAACCACTGCATGGGCTTTCATTATATGATGATACCATAACATTTTAGCCATACACTAACTGGGATGTTTAGGTTGTCTCCAATTATTGACCATTATAGAAATACTGTAATGAACATTCCTGTACATGTATCATATTGATGGGTATGGGTTGAATATGTCTGCGAGATAGAATATTAAAATTGTAATTGTAGCTCAAGTGACATTTACATTGCAGTTATGGGCAGGAACCATTAAATTGTCCCTCAAATGGGTTGGGACAATGGTGATGACAGTGACCTTTCTCCACAGTTTTGCTAACAGTGATTATCAGAATTTTCAATGATGTTTTGGTGATTCATTTTTATCTATTAAATGTCCTCTTTAACACAAAGGCGATTTCTACTGCATATCCAGCATTTCAGTGGTATCAGGCACATCATGGCACTCACCGTACATCTGTCAAATGAATGATCACTGGCTGCAGAAAGGATTTCTAAGCACAAAACAAGAAATTCAATGAGAAAGGGAGATATATTTGAAAAAGTTATCATTTTAAATATTTTAAAATTAAAATAAGCAGATATAGCTTTAGCTTAAAATAAGTTTGCATGTTGTTACTTCTTAAACTTTATTTCTTAGAACAGTTTTAGATTAACAGAAAAATCGTGAAGATAGTACAGAGCATTCCCATATACTCTGCACACAATTTCCCCTACATTAACACCTTACGTTACTATGGTGCATTTATTTTTTACAATTAATGAACCAATATTGATACATTATTGCTAACCGAAGTCCATACTTTATTTATACTTTCTTAGTTTTTACCTTATGCCTTTTTTGTGTTCCAGGATCCCATCCAGGATACCATATTACCTTCAGTTGTCAAGTCTCCTTAGGCTCCTCTTGGCTGTGATAGTTTCTCAGACCGTTGTTTTTGATGGCCTTGATAGTTTTGAGAAGTACCGGTCAGATATTTTATAGCACATCCTATAATTTGGGCTTGTCTGATTTTTTTCCATGTTTAGGCAGTGGTTTGGGAGGAAGACCACAGAGGAAAAGTGCCATTTTCATCACATGATATCAAAGGTTTCCTCTTTCCAGACTGCATGACTCTCCAGGTCCTCCAAATGACTACAGCATATTATGCATATCTTAGTTATAGACCTCTGGGTAGTTATTTTATCATGCACATTTTATTAGACTTTTGGGTTTTTACAGTCATATTAAAAACATAAATATTGTCTTACCAACTAGGATAAATGCTATTTAGGGACAAGGAACAAGTCTTGATGTTCTTGGGATATCCTTCTTGTTTTTTTAAAATCTGAGTGGTAAAAAGTGAAAACAAATATGCCCCATCCAAACTTAGAATTTTCATTGATTGCAGAGCTGAAATGATCTCAGGCACCTGTCACCTAGCTAACATGCCTGTCCTCTTTGGGACAGTATGAACATGGGGGAGAATTCTAAGTTAGAATAAAGGTTTTTAAGCATTAAAATGACAAATTCCAAGGTGTGTACATTAATTCAGGATTCTTAACATTACACTAGGGATGACATAGACTTTAAACCATCTCTGAGGTCAGAAAGATGGACAAGAACCAAGAGAAGGAAGAAGCAATGGAGGGTCAGCCATGCATCTATCCCTTCCCTGGTCTCTTCTGTCTCCTAAGAAAATTCATGAAAATCAATGCATAGTTTGACAACCCAGAAGTCAGCACTTGTGGACATAAAGAGGTACTTCTTTCTTCATCTCAAAAGCTTGGCCCCAGAATATGTTAAGTAGTAAGGTGCAGCTCTTGCCAATATACCATCTTTAGTGGACAGAATGGCCCCTCAAAGGTATCCATGTCTTAATCCCTGGAACCTGTGGATGTTGCACTACCTGGCAAAATGGACATTGCAAATGTAACTAAGGTTATGAATCTTAGAAGAAGAAGATCATCTTG